GTGGAATCTAAAGAACAAACATAAGCAGAAACAGATCCATAAGTATAGAGACGGATCTGCTGGTTGTCAAAGGGGAGAGGGTGGGGGCTGAGCAAAACGGGTGAAGGGAGTGGGAGGTACAGGCTTCCCGTTATGGAATGAAGAACTTGACAGGGATGAAAGGTGCAGCACAGAGAACACAGTCAATGGTGTTGTAAGTGTGCTGTGTGGTGACAGATGGTAGCTACACCTGTGAGCACAGCATAATGTATAGACTTGTCAAATCACTGGTGTACACCTGAAACTAATGTAACATTGTGCGCCAATGATACTTAAATTTTTAAGAAGTTATATATGCACATGGTCAAAAATCAAACATCTATCTATATATATATTTACATATATATACATATGTATGTATATATATATTAAAGTTCATTTTGAGAGAGAGGATGTGTAAGACTGCAAGGGGCAAAGAGAGAGAGAGGGAGAGAGAGAACCCCAAGCAGGCTCTGCACTGTCAGTGTGGAGCCCGATGCAGGGCTTGAACTCACGAACCATGAGATCATGACCCAAGCTGAAATCAAGAGGTGGATGCTTAACCAACTGAGCCACGCGGTGGCCCCCAAATCAAGTATGTATAAAGATATAAAAATAGCAAAAATCTATGTCCCTCTCCCTTCCTTTACTGCCTATTCCAGAATCACCACTGTTAATACTTGTGCATCTGTGATGGTTTGCGTCATAGCTTGGCTTGGGCTACGGTGCCCAGTGGTTGGCTCAAACACCACTCTAGAAGTTGCCGTGCAGGTATATTTTAGATGTGATAAACATTTGCAATCAGCAGACTTTGAGGAAAGCAGATGGTCCTCCATGATCTGAAGGAAGCCTCACCAAAGCAGGTGAAGGCCTTAAAAGCAGACTGAGGTTTCCTAGATAAGAAGGGACGTCCCTCAAGAGCACAACATAGAAATCTGTCCCCGAGTTTTAGCTTGCTGCTCTGCAGAATTTGGGTTCAAGGTTGCAACATCAACTCTTCTGTTTTTGTTTTGAGAGAGAGAGAGAGAGGGTACAAGTGAGCATGAGGAGCAGAGAGAGAGAGAGAACTCCATGAGGGGCAAAGAGAGAGGGGAGAAAGAGAGTGAGAAGTGGGCTCATGTTCACCTGAAGTGGGCTGGAGCTCAACCGATGAGGGACTTGAACCGTGAGATCATGACCTGAGCCAAAGTTAGATGCTTAACCAACTGAGCCACCCGGGCGCCCTGCAACATCAACTCTTACCTGAATTTCCAGCCTACCAGCCTGCCCTGTGAATTTCAGACGTGCTGGCCTCCAAAACTGGGTAAGCTAATTCCTGAAAAATCTCTCTCTCTCTCTCTCTCTCTCCTATTGATTCTGCTTCTCTGAGAACCCTAACATTCATGCTGGCGATGGACAGCTCTCTCCCCCAATCCACACGCTGCTCTCCTAGTTAACTAGGAGTTGTTGCAGCTCTCTGTGGCCATGCAGAAGAAGAGAAGTGATATGAGCCCCTTCCCAATGCCTGACCCATCACACCTTCTCGCTCTCTTACTTTTCTGGATGGCTGGCAGGGTGACGCCAAAAACATCCTTGGCAACCAGGAGCTGAAGGTGGCATCCTGGATCCTTTAGTAACTATGTGGAGCAGAGCCCCCTCCTCCCCACCCTGGCCCCTTAAATCTTGAACATTCTCACCTAGATGTCCCTGGACTGTTAGGTACGTTGTAAGTACATTTCTACAGCTTTCAAGTGATTCCATTTTGGATCTGTTTACTAAATGAGTTTAACATATCCTGACTAATTCAGAAATTGGTCCCTTGGAGTGGAGTGCTATGTAAAATAAATGCCTAAAGCACAAGGCATTGGTGTCCCCAATGCATAGCGGGGGGGTTAGGAACTGATGTCACTGGCTGACCAGCTGGCGTGTCCTCTGATGTTTGGTAAGACAGTGCTAGGTCTGTTGCTGTGGTGACTTGACAGGCAGATACAGGTCCGACTGCACCCGTACTTCTAGAGCAGGTGGTCGGAATGAACCAGAATGTATGAGGTGGCTGCCTCTTGCTGTGTGTAGCTGGGTATTACTAGAAGGAGAGAAGCTGAGACCAGAGTCTCCTGGTTTGGAAGCAGAAGAAGGGAATGAAGAGTCCAGAAACTCGGGGACGCTGTAGATTTTGAAAAGCTAACTGCTTCGGTAGCATAGAGAGCAAGAGGCAAGACCTCTTAGCCTGTGTCTGAGGCCTCTCATTAAGACATCTCAGGCCAACGAAGATCTCATTTCAGTCTTACCCAATTGTTCCATGTGGTTTTCAAGGCAGCTGTCGCTAAATTGAGAACAGAGGCGCTCAGGGGCAAGGAAGTCCCTAAGTTATGAAACAGGTTAAGGACCCCATCTGGAAAAGAACCCCAGGTGTGGCTCCTGACAGGTGCACAGGGTAGAAGCAAATAGAGTAAATGCCTTGTAAGGTTTTGAAGTGAGTATTTCCCTGAAGAAACCACAGGGATCCTGACCTTAAAAAAGTCTTTGTTAAAATAAAACAAATTTTGTGCTCCCAGATTTGCGGATGTCAGGCCGCAAAAGCTGAATAGTCCTCCGGAAGCACTACTCTTTACCACCCGCTTTAAGATTTCTGTTCATCACAGGTTTCTAGTATTTTGATGAAAATGTGTTTTGGTGTAGTTTTCTTAGTGTTTCGTCTGTTTGAAGTTCATTGAGCTTCTTGGATTGGTAAATATATACTTTTCATGAAATTTGGGAAAATGTTGACCATTATTTCTTTGAATATTTTTCTTTCCATCTCCCACCTGCCCCCCCCCCCCCCCCCCCCGCCCAACTTCTGAGACTTCAGTTAGATATATGTTAGGTCCCTAGATACTGTCCCACAGCCCAGAAATGCTCTGTTTATTGTGTTTTCTGATCTTTTTTCTCTGTGTTTCTTTTTAGAGAGTTTCTACTGCTATGTCTTCAAATCCACTAATCTTTTCTTCTGAAGTATCTATTAATCTGTTAATTCCATATAGTAGATTAAAAATGTTCAGATGTTTTTCTCATAACTTTTTTGAATGTTTTATTTATTTTTGAGAGAGAGAGAGAGAGAATGCTAAGGGAGGAGGGACAAAGAGAGAGGGAGACAGAGGATCTGAAGTGAGTTCTGAGATGACAGCAGAGAGCCCAACTCTGGGCTTGAACTCACGAACTGCAAGATCATGGCCTCAGCCAAAATCAACAGCTGGACGCTTAACTGACTGAGCCACCCAGGTACCCCTGTGGGTCTTTCTTTTGACTGATTTTCCTCCTGGTGGTTGGCATGCATGATAATTTTTCATTGGCTCTAGACATTCTGGATTATATTTTTTTAGGTGCTAGACTTTATTGAATTCCTTTAAATATTTAGGGAGTTTTGTTCTGGGGCACAGATGATTTATGTGGAATTGATTAAATCTTTCTGAGGCTCACTGTTATGCATTGTTAAGGCAGGCTCAGAGCAGCCACTAGCCCAAGGCTAATGTGACCCCACTATTGAGACTATATGCTCCCGAGGACCCTGCACAATGCCCAGTATTATATATTTTAGATGCTTATTTATTTTTGAGAGAGAGTGAGAGAGGGTCAAAGGGAGAGGGAGACAGAGAATCCCAAGCAGGCTCCATGCTGCCAGCTCAATGTGGGGCTTGAACTCACGAATCATGAGATCATGACCTGAGCCAAAATCAAGATTCAAACGCTTAATCGACTCAACCACCCAGGCGCCCCCACAATGCCCTATACTATAAGGTCCTTGTGTTCTGGCTGGTGGAAACACCAACAATTCCCAGTCCTATAAGGGCTCGAGGGATTTTTCTTCTTATTCTTTCCTGGCTGGGTCTCCCTTGGCCCTGAGTAGTCTCCTCACTACAGTTGAGTGAGTTTTACGGATCATTGCTCCGCCTTCAAACCCAGCGCACTCCCTGCAGGTCCCCAAAGCCTTCTGTGTGTATAGCTCGTTCCTTTTTAGCCACCGTCACCCTCTTGAACTCTGAATTCTGTCCCCCCAGTTCAGGAAGATGGCGGGGCTCCTGTGGGCTCCCTCTCCCTGCGCTGTGGCCTAGAAACTCTTTTCAGGCAGAGAGCTGGGAAACTCACTTCAGACCATTATCCTCCGTTGCCTGTCCTCCCCTATCTGTAAGTCGTTTCCTGGTTTTTGCCCAGTTTTCTAGTTAAGACAGGAAGATGAATCTGGCCTCGTTATTCCACCATCACTGGAAACAGGAGTCTCAACACCCGCTCCAGATGAGGACATGGAGGAGAGTGGGTACGAAAGTACCACAGTCAGGGACTGAACATTCTCTGGGCTCTGTCAGACGTTGTGTTGTTTTTTTTTCCCTTCTAATCTTTATTGGGTATAACCGACAAATAAAAATTATATATATGGGGTACGTCCTGATGTTATCATATATGTATATACGTATCCACTGTGACATAATCACCATAATCAAGCTAATGCACATGTGCATGTCCTCACATATTTACCATTTTCTCTGTGTGTGTGTGTGTGTGTGTGTGCGTGCGCGTGCGCTGGTGTGTGGCCCTTCTGGCTAAGCGAGGGACTGACCTGGTCTGCCCAGGAGCCTGCTGACCGCCAGCAAGTCTCCCAGACCACGCCCCTTACCTGGGGTCCCGCCGGAGGCCACCAGCCCCCGCTTCCCTTACCTCCTTGCGGCCCCGCCCCTCCTTGCGGCCCCGCCCCTCCTTGCGGCCCCGCCCCTCCACAGCCCCGAGGGCACAGCCGCGTGTCCCGCCGCTCCGGGGCCCCGCCCCTATAGGCCGGCCCCGCCCCTCTGCGCCGCTCGCCCCTCCTCCCCGAGGCCCCGCCTCTCCTCGCCAGATCCGCCGCTCGCCCTGCCTCCCGCGCCCCGCCCCCACACGCCGCCCCGCCCCCACACGCCGCTCGCCCTGCCTCCCGCGCCCCGCCCCCCACGCCGCCCCGCCCCCCCACGCCGCTCGCTCTGCCACCCCGCCCCCCACGCCGCCCTAAACTTTGACTCCTGCGCCGCGCCCGTCTGCATGATTTTCCGAGCGGGCCTGGCAGCCTTCTTGCCTCTTGTCCGCACTCTTCGGCCTGGTGCTGTGGCGGCCATGAGCACTGGCACTTTCGTTGCGAGGCAGCCTTTCAATTACCGTGGCGGGGCCCGCGTGGAACCGGCGGACGCCTCCGGCACCGAGAAGGCGTTCGAGCCCGCAACGGGTAACGGAAAGGCCACCGGGTGGCGGGAGTCCGGGGGGTCGTGGCAGGGGGCCAGGGGACCGTGGCAGGGAGGGACGGGGTGGGGGGGAGCGGCAGGGGGCCGGAGGGGGGAGTCGTGGCGGGGCCGGTGAGGGTTGGCGCCTCCCGGTCCCACTCGTGGACGGACGTGTTCTACTGCCCCGAACCTTCATGTAGTGCTTTCTGCAAACGTTTGCTGTGACAGGTGAGTGACAGTGTGGAAAATAGAGTTGTCTGTGCAGGCAGCTAAGGACTCCGTGCAAACGCGAACGCATCTGCACAGGGACAGGAAGGGGTGGGTGTGTGACGCTGTGCCTCTGTTAATTATTTTTTTTGATTTAAAAATTTTTAATCATATTTGAGAGATAGAGACCAGAGCAGAAGCAAGGGAGGGGAAGAGACAGAGGGAAACACAGAATCCGAAGCAGGCTCCAGGCTCTGAGCTGTCAGCAAAGAGCCCCACTTGGGGCTTGAACCCACGAACTGTGAGATCCATGGCCCCAGCTCCCAGCCGAAGTCAGACGCTTAACTGGCCTGAGCCACCCAGCTGCTCCAGGACTAAATTTTTATTTTATTTATTTTGAGAGAAAGCAAATGGGTGAGGAGCAGAGAGGAAGAGAGAACCCCAAGCAGGCTCCCTGGTGTCAGCGTGGAGCCGGACATGGGGCTTGAACTTACAAACCCTGAGATGATGCCCTGAGCTGTCATCTCAGACCAAGACCAGCTGTCAACAGGTGCCTTTACTTAACGTTTAAAGTTAGAACTACCATAGTGCCTTCAGCCAAGCACTGAAGAGGATTAGGATTTCTTGAAGGACGCAGGTGAGGAGCTTGACGAGGTGGTTCTCATGAGCGTGAGTGACAACTGTGTTTCCATCTCCTAGCGTTAAAATGCTTGTGTGGCTGCAACAGAATTGGAACAGGGAGGGGCACCTGGGTGGCTCAGGTGGTTAAGCGGCTGACTTTGGCTCGGGTCATGATCTCACCGTTCATGTCCGGCTCTGGGCTGACAGCTCAGAGACTGGAGCCTGCTTCAGATTCTGTGTGTCTCTCTGCCCCTCCCCTGATCTCTCTCTCTCTCAAAAATAAATATTAAAACAAACAAAACGAATTGGGGAAGGGTGGAAAAAAAGCCCTGCTTCAAGTTCCCAAGCACAGTGCTGGGCCCTGGATTTGCTCTGAGATTTCTGAAGATCACACAGCTAATGAGGAAGAGGTTTTTGGTTGATGTGTTTTGCTGCGCTTTATGGAATATTCGTGGGGCAAAAGATGTAAATGTTTTGTGCAAACCAGAATGGCGGGTAGCCAGAGACAAAACTGGATTGCAAAGGGCTGCAGAATTTAGGATCCGTTAATCCCCCTAAACCACAGAGCAGCTGTAACCTTGTCTGAGCAGGAAGGAGCCACATGGCTCATCAGACCCTCCTGGGGGAACCGGCCTCTCTACCCCTACCCCCGCAGCTACACAGGAAAAAGAAAATTTGCTGTGTTTTAATTACCTACAATGTGTGTAAACCGGAGCCACTGCCTTTACCAACTAGCTGTTTTGCCCCAAGATAGGAAATGACCTTTGTGTAAGAGGAAAGACTGGACTTTGCTATACTTGGGAAAAAATTATTTCTTGCGTTTATGGTTCGGATTTCCTGATACAGCTGTTTGGTATTCAGCAAGTATCAGCAGTATGGTAATGACTTCTACAGGAAGTGGAGCAGAGATCTCAACTGAGAGTTCATAACCCCAGAAACTGAGTGCTGTTAGCTTTGATTTCACAAGACTCCTGAGCTTATCAACCATTGCGAAGGAGAGCTGCAAAATCGAGGAGGACAGGGGTTCTTAACCCGGATGGGGGTCAGGCTACGCTCCGGGCAAGGGGCCTAGTCTCCCTCTAATTCTGTGATCTGGTGAAGTACGTTTTCCTGGAGAGGAGCCTGCCCCTTTTATCAGATTCTTCACGGTCAGTCACCTCAAAATAGAAGGAAGAACTGTTGGCATGCGGGTCGGTCATTAAATCAGACCGCACTTCACAGGAAGGAGGTCACTTAAGGGAATCTGGAGACAAGGTGCTGTAAGTGCGAGGCAGCACTGGTGGGAAACACTGACTTCCCCGTCTCTCTTGTAGGTCGAGTGATCGCTACGTTCACGTGCTCGGGAGAAAAGGAAGTAGACTTGGCTGTCAAGGATGCAAAGGCTGCTTTTAAAATATGGAGTCAGAAATCTGGCCTGGAGCGCTGCCGAGTGCTTTTGGAGGCTGCCAGGATGATAAGGGTATGTTTTCACTTTTGCCTCTTGCAGAACCAGCCCCTTGCGTCACTCTGAGGCTTCTTTGTGCTGATTTGCAGTTAGACTTTGATGTTCTGTTTGGTTAGGCCTTTTTCTTATGACATGGAAACACGTTTTCTTTTTCTCTCTCTCTCTCTCTTTTTTTTTTTTTTCATTGAGAGAGAGGGCACAAGTGAGAGAGGTGGGGCTCACCAGAAGTGGGGCTCCTGTTCCCTGGAAGGGGCTCGAACTCACAAACAGAGATCATGACCTGAGCTAAAGCCAGATGCTTGATCACCAAAGCCACCCGGGAGCCAAGGAAAAACCTTTTCGTTTGATCGCCTGTGTGCATATACAGGACATGCTTTCTTTGATTAATTGCCTTCTGGATGTTGGCTCTCTGTGACCTCTCCCTTGGTAGGTTGCTTTCTCTTTGTTATAATGTGTCTTTTGCAGCTTGTCTCCTTCTCTCTCTCTTTTTTTTTTTTTTAATTTTTATTTATTTCTAGAAGAGAGAGAGAGAGCATGAGCAGGGGAGGGTCAGAGAGAGAGGGAGACACAGACTCTGAAACAGGCTCCAGGCTCTGAGCTGGCAGTCAGCACAGAGCCCGACGTGGGGCTTGAACCCACGAACCGCGAGATCATGACCTAAGCGAAAGTCGGACGCTTAACCGACCAAGCCACCCAGGCGCCCTGTCTCCTTCTCTTTTTAACTCTGTACTGGTTTCTTGCTTACTTTTTCCTCTGGTGACTCTTAAGTTTTCTTTTTCAGATGCATTTCCTACCTTAATTGCCTGGGAAGATTTCATAGATGTATATATATTCCCGTCTTTCGCTCCCTCCCTCCCTCTTTCTCTTTCTCACTCTCTCTCTCTCTTTTCCAATTTTAGAGCATGGGACAGGGTGCCTGGGTGGCTCAGTCAGTTAAGCGTCTAACTTTGGCTCAGGTCATGATCTCATGGTTCATGGGTTTGAGCCCCGTGTCGGGCTCTGTGCTGACAGCTCAGAGCCTGGAGGCTGTTTCGGATTCTGTGTCTCCTTCTCTCTCTGACCCTCCCCTGTTCATGCTGTCTCTCTATCTCTCAGAAATAAATAAAACATTAAAAAATGCTCTGTCTCTGTCTCAAAAATAGATAAAAAACAAAAAAAATTTTAAAAGCAAAAGGACTTAGGTGCTTATTACAGAAAATTAGAAAATTCAGAAGGATGTAGACCAAAATACAAATCGTGGTTATCTCCAAGTTGTAGAACTCTGATGATTTTTTGTTCTCATGAGTGTGTTAAGTCGGAAACTGCAATTCCAAAGCATTTGTATATCTAAGTGAATTTCCAGAACCATTGGCTCAGTTGTGATCATGTGACTCACGGTGTCCTGTACGACTCGTATTGCAAGACACATCTGGTTTATCAAGTTAGAGTTTATTGGAGATGTTTGCTTGTCGTGCGGAACAATCGTAGAACAAATTACTCACCATCCAAGGCTTTACTGTACTTTGTTTTAGGAAATTAAGAAGAGGGTGTGTGTGTGGGGTGCGGTGGGGGGAGAGGATGGAAGACATGAGCATAGCCAGGTTAGAGGAAGAGCCGGGTTATCACTCACAGTCAAATGCAGCAGCTAGAGCAGTGTCTTAGCACTAGTTTTCTGCACCACAACCGCGGCGGGGAAATAGAGGGATGCAGACGTTACCCTCTTGGATGCAGTGGGCTGCCCCACAGGACGGGAACCCTGAAGTTATGAGTCTCCGTTTATACAGTAGCCGCTCTCACGTTGTGCGTGCTCTTCTCTGCAGCGAGAGAGATTACTCTTTATTAAACAGAGATCCAGGGTTAAGGTGTTACTGGGCTTATTTCCCTGGAAAATAAGCAGATTTCCCCAAAAAGGGTAAGCAGAGAACTTTCTATCTCATCTCTCCAGGCACCTCTATCCTTAGGGAAACACTGTGTCTGTTTTCATTGGCTTTTGCTTCTCCGTCATCGTGCTAAGGTCCTTTACTCAGAAAATCTGGGCCACACAAAGATGTCAGAATGTTCCTGGAGAATTTTCTCCCAACTAAGTATTTTTCCCTATTATTAAAAAATTAATTTGGGGGCGTCAGGGTGGCTCAGTCGAGCAATCCAACTCTTGATCTTGGCTCAAGTCATGATCTCTTAGTTTGTAGGTTCAAGCCCGCCTTGGGCTCTTCTTGGAGCCTGCTTGGAATTCTGTCTGTCCCTCTCTTCCTCCCTCCCTCTCTCTCTCAAAACAAATAAAATCTTAAGTATTTTAAATTAGACCAAAAGTGATAAAGCAGGTAATTTATTATTTTAGTTTTTCACTTTGTCTTAGCACGTAAACATTTAAGGTTGTTGTGTCCTCCGAAGAATTGACCCCCAGGGCAACTGGGTGGCTTGGTAGGTTAAGCGTTTGACTTTGGCTCAGGTCATGATCTCATGGTTGGTGGGTTTGAGCCCTGCATTGGGCTCTGCGTAGACAGCCCAGAGCCTGGAGCCTGCTTGGGATTCTGGGTCTCTCTCTCTCTCTGCCCCTCCCCTGCTCATACTCTGTCTCTCCCTCTCTTAAAAATAAACAAAAAAAGAATTGGCCCCTTTATCATTATTAAATGACTTTTTAAAAAAATAATAATATCTAACAATATTCTTTTGCTCTGAAATGGACTCTGTTTGATATTAATTTTCTTTTCCTTTTAACCTCTCCCCATTTCCATTAACATCTATGTATTCCTGTGTTAGTAAAAAATATATTTCTGTCTTTCTGTACAGCTCCTGTTGGATGCTCATGCCCTATACCTGCCTTTACCCCAAATTATCCTGTCCCTGAAGAGATCCACCCTCTGATCATAACCCATAATCATAACCTTCAGTTGTTTATTAGTTTTTCTCTTCCTTTTTTAAAAATCTTTTTACTTTTTTTTTTTTTATATTTTTATTTATTTCTAGGAGAGAGAGAGAGAGAGAGAGAGAGAGACAGTGTGAGCAGGGGAGGGTCAGAGAGAGAGGGAGACACAGACTCTGAAATAGGCTCCAGGCTCTGAGCTGGCAGTCAGCACAGAGCCCGACGCGGGGCTCGAACCCACGAACCGTGAGATCATGACCTAAGCGAAAGTCGGACGCTTAACCCACTAAGCCACCCAGGAGCCCCACTTTTTACTTTTTTAAAATTTATTTTGAGAGAGTGTGTGGCTGGGGAGGGGGAGAGAAGGGGGAGAGAGAATCCCAAGCAGGCCCTGCACTGTCAGTTCCTGATGTGGGGCTCGAACTCCTGAACCGTGAGATCATGCCCTCGGCTGAAATCGAGTCAGACACTTAGGTGCCACCCAGGTGCCCCAAGGTAAAAATATTTTCTATTTACCCACATTTTTACCATTTCTAGTGCTCTTCATTCCTTTCTGTGGGTTCAGATTCCCATCTGGAGTCCTGTTTTTTTCTGCATGAAGAAATTTCCTTAGCATTCCTTGTAGTGCAGTTTTGCTAGTGATGTTCTTTTGGCTCTTGTGAGTCTAAAAGTCTTCATTTTGCTTACTTTTGGAAGAATTGTAGGTATATAATTCTAGGTGTATATTCTGTGTAGATAATTCTATATTTTTGGGTTTTTGTTTTTTAGCTTTTTAAGTTAGGAAGTTCTAACTAAACTTCTGCTCCCTCGTCTAGCAGGGCCTCCAATTACACACAGCCTGGGTGGCTTGAAGCGGTCTCATAATCACTGATGCTGTTTGGGTTTTTCCTGTTTGTTTTTCCAATGTGTTTTAAATTTGTATATTTTCCAGTGTTACCAGTACTTTCGTTTAGAACTTACTAACTAGAGGGGCGCCTGGGTGGCTTAGTCAGTTAAGCGTCCGACTTTCGCTTAGGTCATGATCTCGCGGTTCGTGGGTTCGAGCCCTGCGTCGGGCTCTGTGCTGACTGCCAGCTCAGAGCCTGGAGCCTGTTTCAGAGAGTCTGTGACTCCCTCTCTCTCTGACCCTCACCTGCTCACGCTGTCTCTCTCTCACTCTCTCTCCTAGAAATAAATAAAACATTAAAAAAAAAAAAAAAAAAAGAACTTACTAACTACAGAAAACCTATTTGGTTCACATAAATTGCAGTGTCAGGCCTGCCCAGAGTATCTCCTGATCTTAGCTAGCGTGCACTGGGCGGGACACCATAGAAAGTGTGGGCAGAGGGCTCAAGTGTGCTTTGAAAGTGTGCTGAGGAGGGAAAACACTCAGTGGTCACAACAACCTGCTGGTGTTGGGCCCCCGTGGAATCAGACGTTGTCTGTGTCCAAGAGCACAGGGTCGGGGCTAATTTATTTAGAACTTGGCAGCTTCCTGTTTTAGAAATAAGTTTCGTAAAGGCAGAGAATGGATCTATACCTTTTTTCTTAATAATGCAGGTAGAATGACCCTGTCAAAAGTCTTTATTCCTCAGGTCTTTGTAGCAATATGACATGTTCAGATTTCACTGTCAAGGCTTCCCTTTCCTGTATTTCCTACTGATTTCTATATTCCTGCTTCCTCCTTTCTGATGTGTGTACTGTCAATACATGCTTGTGATAATTTCAGTCACCATTCCACTTGCTTCTGGTCTGGCTCACCGCTTACCTGTTTTAATAAGACAGTGCTACACCTTGTCATTTGTTTGATTCACCTTTTATGTGTGTGCACATACTCCCCCTCTTGTTTATTTTACATCGGGTCCATAATAGCAAATGTCTATTTCTTACATGCTCCATTCATTCAGTTCTTTCATCTTTGGGATGAAGAAAGGGGTAATTGAGCTTTTCTCCTGAGGTCAGTTTCCCAAACCTTTCCAGCCGTCCCTGGACCATCTCCAGCATCTCTCAGTCATGCATGCTACAACAGGAACAGTATTTTATAAGAGAATTAATGAGTACTGACCGTTACAAAATGATTATCATGGGGCGCCTGGGTGGCTCAGTCGATTTGTGCGTCTCACTTCACTTCAGGTCATGATCTCGCGGTTTGTGAGTTTGAGCCCCGCATTGGGTTCTGTGCTGACAGCTCAGAGCCTGGAGCCTGCTTCCAATTCTGTGTCTCCCCCCTGCCCCCCGCTTGCACATGCTCTCTCGAAAATAAACATTGGAAAAAAAGAAAATAATTATGTTGTGATTTTCACATGCTGCATGTCTTTGGGTGAATTAAAGCCGTGTGTGTATATCACCTCTCACCTGCCACTTGTGTGTTTAGCTGTCGTGTGTCATCGACTATTGTAGTAGTGATTGTCTACACATGCAAATGTGTATATGCACATATATACATATTTATACATGTACACATATATAATATTCGCTTCTCAAACTGTTCCTTTTCTAATTGATCTGAAAACAAGATATTGCTCTTCAGTCTGTGACGATTAACTTGAGGGGGGAATAGGGCTGCTGCTTAGCAGTAAGCTTTCTCTTCCAGACATAACGGCACCACTCCTTCTAAAGTGCAAGCCACTTGCGTTTTTAAAAATTGGGCAATGTACTCTGAGTGTTGAGTATGTTGGGGTGTATGGCAGTGCGTCTGAAGTCTAGTCTTCGGTCCTACCCAAAGGAACGGAGGGATGAAATCGCCACCATGGAGACCATCAACAATGGCAAGTCCATCTTCGAGGCCCGCTGGGACGTGGACACTTCCTGGCAGTGCCTGGAGTACTTCGCAGGCTTGGCTGCATCCATGGCTGGTAAGCCCCGGCCTGGCCTTCCGGGGGCAGCCGACAGGGAGGCAGAAGCAGGTCCTAGTGGTGAAAGCGGGAGGTTTGGGGCATGACACAGACCCGGGGTAAAATCCTGGGCTTCCCACTCTCTGCATGGATGGCGCTGAGAATTCCTTTACCTTTCCTTGTTGAAACTGGAGATGGTAATCCCTGTGTTCTGGGGTTATCATAAGGATTAAATGAGAGAATCTATGGGAAGCACTTAGCATGGTATCTGAGCTTCTGGCCAAGTTTTTGAAAAACCAAGAGTCGGTCAGTGTTACCACGTTTACTAGTTCTGCCTCGTTAGCAAAAGACTTTCTTGATTCTTAGTGAAGTTTACAGTAGCTGGTGCTGAACGATGTCACAGGACCAGGAGGGCCGTGCGGAGCCAGAAGTCGCACGTGTGGGTCCTGCTATGGAGCCGCCTCTTATTTCCATCATTACCACCTTTTAAAAAATTTTTAATGTTCATTTTTTTTTAATTCTTTTTTTTTTTTTAAGTTTTTTACTTATTTCTAGGAGAGAGAGAGACAGCATGAACAGGGGAGGGTCAGAGAGAGAGGGAGTCACAGACTGAAACAGGCTCCAGGCTCTGAGCTGGCAGTCAGCACAGAGCCCGACGCGGGGCTCGAACCCACGAACCACGAGATCATGACCTAAGCGAAAGTCGGACGCTTAACCGACTAAGCCACCCAGGCGCCCCTTAATGTTCATTTTTGAGAGAGACAGAGAGCGAGTGGTGGAGGGACAGAGAGAGAGGGAGACGCAGAATCGGAAGCAGGCTCCAGGCCGTCAGCACAGAGCCTGACGTGGAGCTTGAACCCATGAACCGCAAGATCATGACCTGAGCTGAAGTCTGACATGCAGCCGATGGAGCCACCCACGCGCCCCCCACTCCAATCTCACTTTAAGTTGTTATCTGTTAGATGCTCTCAGGTTTTAGAGAACTAAGTTGAGCGGACATGGGTTTGGAGGATGGATAGGATTCCTCATTGGAGTGACTGCGCAGAGGCTGTTGCCCGCCTGTTGAGATGAACGGAAGAGGCCGCGGGGTGGAGCACAGCTGAGCACGGCCGTTGGGTGGAGTCTGGGGAAAAGCAGTCCTGCGCCCTGATGCCTCTGCTCTCCTCTTAGGTGAGCACATCCAGCTCCCAGGCGGGTCCTTCGGCTACACCAGACGAGAACCGCTGGGCGTATGCGTGGGAATAGGCGCGTGGAACTACCCCTTCCAGATTGCCTGCTGGAAGTCCGCCCCGGCGCTAGCGTGCGGTAAGCGTGAGCCATTCTTCACCCGTGAGCCCTCCCTTCTCTCCCTCCACCTGTTCGTGCACGCACACGCTCATTCGCACACTCACGCTGCACATCAGAAGGGGCCTGCGTTGGGGCACCTGAGCCCTAGAGGACCTGCGTCCCCTCCTGCCCTGCCTCGTCCGGGCTTCCAGGGCACGTTACGCATGTGGATTGCGTCCATGTCATTCCCACTTTTACTTATCGTATTTATTTCTGTGATGGACAGGAAGAGCATTCATTTTGGTCCTGGAGGTCTTCTGTTTGACCGTGGGATTGATTTAGATTTGTGCCACGTACAAGTTCTCTTACTTTCTGGACAAAGGGGTTGAAACGCCCCTGTGCGTAGGAAGAAGCACGTGGTAGTGTGACTTAAGCAGAAGATACACATCCTCCTTCATTTGTCTTTTTTTTTTTTTCTTCTAAATGTTTTATTTATTTCTGAGAGAGAAACAGACAGTGTGAGCAGGGGAGGGTCAGAGAGAGAGGGAGACACAGAATCTGAAGTAGGTTCCAGACTCTGAGCTGTCAGCACAGAGCCCGATGCGGGCTTGAACCACAAACCGTGAGCTCATGACCTGAGCTGAAGTTGGACACTCAACCCACTGAGCCACCCAGGCGCCCCCTCCTTCATTTGTGTCTTAAGAGAGATGATAAGGCTGGCATCAGAGAGAGTGGCCAGCTGGCTTAGAAGGGTTTTTCATATGGAGAAAACTGAAGTTTTTCATACTGTTCAAAGATGAATCGATGGGAAAAGAGGATTTATTATAGCTTAGAAAAATACAAGGTTTAAAAAAGCATTCCTAAAAAAAAATATTACTCTTAGGACATTGTGTTGAAATTGCAGCTTTTCTCATATTGCCCCATGGTTTGCTTTTGCACTTTGTCGTGTGAGCTCGAGCATCTGTGAGACAGGGGGCCCCAGCTAACCACTGGCTTTGGAAACTACCAACATATTAACCTCTCTGGCCTTCAGTTTCAAGTTTTAAAGATTTAAAAAAATTTTTTTTATTTATTTCTGAGAGAAAGAGAGAAAGCATGAGCAGGGGAGGGGCAGAGAGAGAGGGAGACACAGAATCTGAAGCAGGCCCCAGGCTGTGAGCTGTCAGCATAGAGCCCAACACGGGGCTTGAACCCACAAACCGTGAGATCATGACCTGAGCTGAAGTTGGACGCTTAACTGACTGAGCCACCCAGGCGCCCCTTAAAGATTTTCTTTTTAAGTTTATTTATTTTTGAGAGAGCACATATGGGAGCAGAGGAGAGGCAGAGAGAGGGAGGGAGAATATCAAGTAAGCTCTGAGCTGTCAGCACAGAGCCTGATGTGGGGCTCAATCCCACGAACTGTGAGCTCGTGACCTGAGCTGAAACCGAGAGCCAGACGCTCGACCGACTGAGCCCCCCAGGCGCCCGTGGAGTTGATCTTGCCTCGTCCTCCGGTCCCATCCTTCCCTCAGGGGACCACCAGTGTTAGAAACATCTTTTGTGCTTGTGTCTTGGGTTTGTGCAGGTAACGCCATGGTCTTTAAACCCTCTCCCTTCACACCGCTGTCGGTGCTGCTGCTGGCTGAGATCTACACGGCGGCCGGCGTGCCCCCGGGGCTCTTCAACGTGGTGCAAGGAGGGGCCGCCACGGGCCAGTTTCTGTGTCTGCATCGTGATGTGGCCAAAGTGTCCTTCACCGGGAGCGTGCCCACTGGCTCGAAGGTGAACATGAAGCCAGTTTCGGTTCACACAAATGGCAGTGCCGGGCCCACACAGAGTATCTGTCGGGGGCTTGTCTTCTGACCTGACCCGGCTTGAGCTGGGAGGGGGGCCGCAGGGATCAGGGGCAAGATCTGATGCGTACTTCGAAGGTGTGAGGCGGGGAGGGACGTACGGTGGGACGGCTAGGACTGCCGACGAGTGGGTGCCGCGGGGACGGAAGCCCTCGCCTGCGCCCGCGTCTGTGTCTGAGTGCACGGGGTCTGGGCTGCCACTGCGTCTCTGGTGTCTTAGTCACCGTAGAGGCCACCCCAGAAGGAAGGGTATTTGCTCAGTTTATTTCAGATGTATGGTTTTGACCTTAATTGGTAGCCTTGACCACAGCCACAGTATTAGAAGAGTTTCTGCCCGTGACTCGTGAATGAACAGTATTTTCACAATGAATCTCCTCTTCAGGATGTCAGCTGCAGCCCTGTGATCCTCTTCAGTATTCTGGAAAAGACTGTTCTAAACAGATGAAGGACAGAGTCCTTGGCAGAATCAGGGTTGTGGTCCCGTGTAGTTGAGGCTGCCCGGAGGCCCGGGTTCTGGCTGGCCTCGCCTGCGCTTCTCTGTGCATTAAGCTTCTGCCTGTGTTTGTCCTTGTTCTTTAAGATCATGGAGATGTCCGCTAAAGGAATCAAGCCCGTTACCTTGGAGCTGGGAGGCAAATCTCCCCTGATCATCTTCTCCGACTGCGACCTGGAGAATGCCGTGAAGGGAGCGCTGATGGCCAACTTCCTCACGCAAGGCGAGGTGCGCACCTGTCTGTGGCCAAGGGGCAGAAGGAGCCTCCCTCCTTCACGTACCAGCATGTTTTGAAGCTCTCTGTTTTGAAATAATTGCAGATTGCCAGAAACGTGGCACAGAGTTGAGCCTTGAGCCACGTTTCTCAGATGTTAACATTTTATCACGTTTCCTTTATCATTCTGCTTATCTCTACATACCTGTGCTGGTTCTGTTTTCCCAAACGGTTTGAAAGTGCAGATACGAGACTCCTCACTTCTGCGGCCCTCTGTGCATTTCCTAGAAACGAGTGCGCGCTCTTACATAAGCACAGCGCACTAAGTAAGATCAGTCACCTTATGTAGACTGTTCTCAGTCCGCAGCCCCTGGTCACATGTCATTCATTGGCCAGTCATCCTTTTAGTAAAAAAAAACAAGCCCCACACCATCTCTTTTCTCTGGTCTAAAACGTGGTTCAGGGAGGTGTGTTGCATTTAGTTGTTGTTGTTTGCCGAATCTCCTTTAGTCTGGAACAGTTAGCTCTTCGGTTCTTATCTTTCCAGGACCTTGACATTTTGGGGGACTAGAAGGTGTTTATTTTGTAGAATGTTGTCTGGTGTTTCCTTTTGATTAGATTTAGATGATGCATCTTGGGCGAAAGCCACCACAAAAGTGGTGCTGTGTCCCCCTCGGGGCGGTTGGCTTTGCTGAGGGCGGGTCTTCCTGGGAGGTTCCCATGTCCTCTGTGGAGGCAGGGACAGAGGTCTCTGCACCCCCCAAGCTCTCCCCTGCTCGCCTGAGCACGCTTTGGTGATTTCTGCTGGAGACCTTTTCCATTATGGTGGTCCCCAAATGGTCATTTTCCAATTCTGTTATTCTTTCTACATTTGTTCCTTCTCTCTACTGTAAGAAAGAACTTCTCCCTTCTCTCATCTTGTGTGTGTGTGTGTGTGTGTGTGTGTGTGTGTGTGTGTGTGTTTGTGTGTGTGTCCCCACTCATTTAACATTATGGACCATGAATTCTTTCTTCGTTCTGTGGATTACAGTCCATTACTATCATTATTTCTTTGGATGCTCAAAAGATTGCAGATCTGGCTGGCGGCAGCCCCTTTCTGTGACCTTTTGATAGGTCTTCATTACTCCATGAGCACCAGTACTTGGCTGTATTTTCGGACGTCGGTATCTACAGTTCTGATGGAGCGGCAATAGTATTTATGCTCCTGTCTAAGGCAGGGTCTGAACAGTCACGATTGATTTGCGATTGTAGAGCCAGACATGGACTGTGAAACGCGTCAGGTTTTTATTAGGCACATGCCCTTAGTTCTTTGTCTGTTTTCACCCTTCCTCCCCTCCTGCTCTTAAAAATACATCGCCCCTTTCAGCCGCTGACAGGGGGCCGTAGGAGAGGTCTTGTGGCCTGTGGATCTGTGAACGGCATTAAGGAAATGTAGGCAGACAAAAAGACCTAACTTTATCTCAAAGGGCAGGCAGGTGTTTCTTGATGCTAGGGTGTATGTCCCTAACTACACGTGGGTCCTGTTCAGTTTGGGGATAATTTTTAGAGATGGAACTAACCTTTTGAAAAGGTCTGCTGTCTCCTTTTAAGTTTAACGCTGCTGGATTCTTTTTTTTTTTTTTAATATTTTTATTTATTTCTAGGAGAGAGAGAGAGAGAGAGAGCGTGAGCAGGGGAGGGTCAGAGAGAGAGGGAGTCACAGACTGAAACAGGCTCTAGGCTCTGAGCCGGCAGTCAGCACAGAGCCCGACGCGGGGCTCGAACCCACGAACCGCGAGATCATGACCTAAGCGAAAGTCGGACGCTTAACCGACTAAGCCACCCAGGCGCCCCAAATGCTGCTGGATTCTGCCCCCTTTTCCTATTTCCTTCCTTGCACGCATACAAATTCGTGTGTGTCCTTCAGGTGTGTTGTAATGGCACAAGAGTATTTGTGCAGAAGGAAATTCTCGAGAAATTTACAAAGGAAGTGGTGAAACGGACCCAGGGGATAAAAATTGGAGATCCCCTTCTGGAAGGTACAAGGATGGGCCCCCTCATCAACCGCCCACACCTGGAGCGAGTCCTAGGGTTTGTTAAGCTGGCAAAAGAGCAGGTGAGAAAAGGGGCAGAGTGGGGGGTGGGGGAGGGTGAGAATCGGTCCAACGTCCGCGCTGTGTGCACTCTTGGTCTGTGTACCTGCCTGGTCGCAAGTCCCCAGCGGTGCCCTGCTCTGCACCTGTTGTGGAGTGACTGTGCATCTGTTCAGGACTGCGCGTCACGGTTGTAAGTTCAACATCAAATGTGCCTTCTTTTTTCTTCTTGGGCAGGGCGCTACAGTGCTGTGTGGTGGAGACGCATACGTGCCCGAAGATCCCAAATTAAAGAACGGTTATTACATGAGCCCTTGCGTACTGAGTACGTCCTCTCCTTGTTAGCTTTTAAACAGTTGGAATTAAATGTCAGAAAGAAAAAGATATTTATCGAAAACGTGTAGGGTGTAAAGCAGGGGTTGGCAAGCTGGGTCCCCACTGCTCAGAGGAAGGAGTCGACATCCTCCCACACCTCCCGCGTGCCCTTCCCCGCGCACAGCCGTGTCCGTTAGTTGGGCTGAGACTTTGCCAGGTCTGCACCTGTTGTTCCTGAAGCAAGAAGCTCAAAAAAAAAAAAAAAAAAAGGAAGTGCATGCCCGATAAAAAACTAACAAATTTCGTTTCTCAAGAAAGTTGATGAAGAATATGTTTTTCTTTAACGATACGTGTCATCAATATAATAAGACCAATTTGTCAGGTGGTACGGCAATATTTTTAAAAATTATGTAATTTCATAACTTCTAGCACCTCCTTTGAGTCTTAAACATCCCCTGGTTTGGACAGTCAACTGCACGGTCCCCCCATTGTCCTCAAATCCACTTCTTTCTTCCCACCTCTGAGGTGACCACCACCCTAGGTACTGCCATTCTTGTGTGCCTTCCTCTGCCCTTTTACAGTATATGTCAGGATCCACAAATAAATGCCCATATGTCAAAACAGTGGTAGGGTAATAATAGGCTTTTAAAAACTGTATACGGGTTGCATTATGTTGGGTGATTTCTTACATCTTCCCTAGAAGATAGATTCAGCTGAGTTTTGTCCCTGAGGTAGACAGGGGGTCATTTTTTCAGCACTTGATTATCTGATGGATTTTAAACCTTTAGCCCTTGCTAAAAAAAAGATCCACTGAGGTTTGAAAGCTGTGAACCCAATGTCTATAACGTGGATTAGCTGGTAGTTATTAAGTGAACAAGAAAAGTTTACAGTAGATTTTTAAGGGAACAGAAAAGGTTAAACAACACTATGGTATTAACCCAAATCTATTAAGAAATACATAAGACAGAAGGAATAGTATGTGTCAAACTATAAAGAGTAGATTTCTCTGGTTGCCGGGATTAAAGATGATTTTTGTTATAGTTTGCACATCTCTGAATACTACAAATTTTTCACATGTGTTTTACAATTAGGAGAAAAGTTATTATTTTTTAAAGGTTATTTTGAGAGAGAAAGAGTGTGAGTGGGGGAGGGGCAGAGAGAGGGAGAGAGAGAATCCCATGCTGGCAGCACAGAGCCTGACACAGGGCTCGATCTCCCTAACCATGAGGTCATGACCTGGGCCAAAATCAAGAGTTGGACACTTAAGTAACTGAGCCACCAGGGCGCCCTCGGGACAAAATTATTCTTAAACAGACTGTGAACTTGGCAAAGACCAGGGAGTGAACTTTACTCCAGCGATTCCCAAAAGTCTGGTGGCTTGTGGCCTGTGATGTCAGTGCCACTTGGACAACTTATTAAAGAGGCAGATTCCTGGCCCCTGCTCCAGACCTCCCTGAATGTAACTCTCAAGGAGTTGGGCCTAGTGATCTGCTTTTTAATAAGCCCCCAATTCATTTTTATTCATATCAAAGTTTGAGAGGGACTCCAGAGTCTAGGTTAACTTTTAACGTGTGGGAGCTAAAGTCCAGGAAGTCTTAGGTTTCAGGCAGGAACCTTTCCTTGTAGGTCAGCTGTGACTTCATCTTTGCATCTCTGTTGACTTTCCAACACAGAATTCACTGTAGACAGAGACCTATGGGCTTCTCAACCTGAAGGAGATGATAAAATAGTTTTGGGAATGGGGCGCCCGGGTGGCTCAAGTTGGTTGAGTGACTTCAGCTCGGGTTATGATCTCACAGTTTGTGAGTTCAAGCCCCGTGTCAGGCTCTGTGCTGACAGCTCGGAGCCTGGAGCCTCATTCGGATTCAGTGTCTCCCCATCTTGTTGCCCCTCCCCCACTCATGCTCTGTCTCAAAAATAAATGTAAAAAAAAATATTTTCTGGGACTGCTGGGTAATGCATCGTCCTGAGTCCTAGTCTGGCTAACAGTTTCCCTAAAAATTGTATGCGGATCACTAGTCTTCAAGGAATTAGGACGTAATGGGCTAGCCTTACACACAATACTAAGAATTCTGAAATGTGTCTTTGAAGATAGTTCAGGTGTCCCCAACGTACAGTGTGATAACACACAGGTGCCCAGAGTACTTTTCTTCCCTTGTTATACACAGGCTCCACACCAGCTCCTGAGGGATCGTAGACTAGTCCTTGTGGACATGCCAAGAGCTGCTTTCCAGACTTCGGCTCCCGCAGAGCTGACGTTCCCAGTAGGGTTCCCGAGCTGTTCTTACTGCCGTGCATTTCTAGCGCCGTCATCCCTCCCCTGACCTGGCCTTTATTACACTGTTTGCAGCTGACTGCAGAGATGACATGACCTGTGTGAAGGAAGAGATCTTTGGACCAGTTATGTCCATTTTGTCGTTTGACACCGAAGCCGAGGTTCTGGAAAGAGCCAATGACACCACTTTTGGCCTGGCGGCTGGCGTCTTTACCAGGTATGTGGGGAAGGGCCCCTCCGGCAGCTCTGCGGGGACAGGGGCCTTCCGGAGATCTGCCCAGAGATCATTGCTCTCCTGTCCTCCCTGGGGTATACATTGTCATGAGCGTTTTCTGTTTGCTTCCGGTGAAGCCAGAAGGTGCCAGGGTAGCATGTGGTGTTGGTCCTGGCTGGCCAGAGACCTGCTGTTGAGTTTAAATTGAGCTGTAAACATTGTTGATGAAAATTCTATCCTAGTCATTCATTGGGCAGATACGTAAGGTTCTAATCTATGTAAAGCATCAGGTTGGGTGTCTCATTGAAAACGCACATGTCGGAATTTAGAAACTTGTAAGCCCTTAAACACTGGGCAGTAGTAGTCTTCAAAAACATGATTTTTAGCAGCTTTATAGTAGCTTCTAATTGGAATGTACTGTCAAATACGTAGGCAGTCTTTTGGTTGTGTATTTATGGTACTGTTTCCACTTGTAACTGCTGTAGGTAATATTGAGCTCAATATCTCTGTCCATAAACTGTAACCACAGTGACACGAGTGAGACGTGATTTGGGAGCAGAACTTCCTGCAAAATGGTGGGAGGTTGCTTGGTTATGTACAAACTTTGATTCATCTTTGGCAGCAGGAGGAAGTTTTCTCAGACTGCTTTCCACGTGGCATTGTGCTGTTTCTTTGGTGATCTACGAGGTTAAGTTTTTTCTGTAGCTTCATGGGGAGGAGGACCCAGGTGTCCCTTGGGGACCTGATGGGATGGCTTCTCTGAGCTCCGAAGAGAAGATCGAGGGGCTGCCGCCTTCTCATGTGCTTGTTTTTTAGGTAGACTTTCATTTTTAGAGTAATTTTAGGTTCACTGCAAAACTGGGTGAAAGGCACAGAGGTCTCCCATCGTCCCCCTCCCCAACCCCGTTATCCGCTTCCCCCACCAGAGCCCACGTCGGTTCTAACTAGTAAACCGACTAGGATGGACCGTAACCCCCCAAGGCCCACACCTCCGTTAGGGTTTACTTTGGAAGTTGGAGTTGTGCGTTCTGTGGATTTGGACTACGGTGCCCGCCGCTCACCATCACACGGAGTAGTTTCACTGCCCTGCGAGTCCCTTCTGCGGACCTGCTTTTTTTGGTGCGAGGAGTGAACGGGTGAAGTCACCCCAGCACAGACCGAGGCAGTCACGAGGAGGGTGACTCCGGTGTGCTGCCGCTGTTCTAACAGCATTGTAGCCCGAGTCATGCACCCTGCATCGTACCCACTTAGAGCGTACGGTTCGGTGGTGTTTCGTTCGGTGGTATTTACAGAGTGACATAACCATCACCGCAATCTGATTTTAGAGCGTAAACCTCCAGTGAACATGAGGAACATTCTCCCTCTGGCCGGGACCCCAGCACCACCAATCAATCTACATGCTATCTGTGTAGATTTGCTTCTCTTGAATATTTTCTGTAAACACGGCATCGTACAGTGCGTGACCTTCTGTGACTGGCTGCTGTTGGAGCGGCTGGCAGTGCCTGTGACGAATGTTCCGAATGTTCTGTCGTGTGGGCACGTTGTGCTCATCCACCCGCTGATGGACGTGGCCTTGTTCCTGCTGCTCTCCCACCGGGAGCACCTTATCTGAGCCTGTGTGGAAACGTTTTACTTATGCGGGTGCGCACCTAGAGGTGCCGTTGCTGGGTCACACGGTCACTCTGCGCTGTTCTCCCGTGTGGGGGTGCCGTTTCGCGTGCCCACCAGCCCCGCAGGAAGGTTCCAGCTTCCCCGAGTCTCCTGGGCGGTGCTTGTCACTGTCTGTCCCCCCGACCCCGGTGGGGGAAGCGGTGCCTCACGCGGTTCTGATCTGCGTCTCTGCACGTGTCTTTTCCCCTTTTCCTGATATCTCAGTTGTGGTACAAAAATGTTAAATTTTGACAAAGCATAATTAATATTTTTTTTTTGTCTGTTACTTTGGGTATCCTGCCCGAGAAGGCTTGGTCCAACCCAAGACTGTGAAGGTTTATTCCTGTTTTCCTGGAAGGGTTTTATGGGTTTTGTTCTGTTGGGTTAGGCCCGTGACTCATCTGAGTTAATTTTTGTACGTAGCGTAAGAAAGGGATCTCCCTTCGTTCCTTGCGGACCCCTGGGTAGCCTGTGCTTCTAGCCCTTTTCTCCCCATTGAACTGTTTGGGCCTCCTCGCTGCTGCTGCGTACTTGATAGATGCTTTCGGAGGAGACTCTGAAGCTCACGTCCTTCTGTCTGTTTTGCCTGGATGCCACAAGGTGGTAAAACACTGAAGAAGCAAGAATTTGGCAGCATCTCAAAGCGGGTAGAGCCGGCGGTCTCCCCTTCCCTGCGGAGGTGGCCGCACAGTAATAGTCTGGTCTTGGCAGGGACGTGCAGCGCGCTCACAGGGTGGTGGCCGGGCTGCAGGCCGGGATGTGCTTCATTAACAACTACAACATCAGCCCCGTGGAGCTGCCCTTCGGCGGGTACAAGAAGTCAGGTGAGGAGCTGCGGAGTGTGGGCGCGAACCCGGCCCGTAGGGATGGGGTTGTAATTCAGACCGCACACACCAGGTTCTGCAACATCTAAGTGTCGGAACCCCGTGGGCAAGCACAGGGAGTCTGGGCCTCCCTGCCCCGTGGCTCCGGTCTCTGGGAATGGGAGCCACACACCTTTTCTTTTGAATAGAGCCCCCCCGGAGACGTGTATTTTGGGGGATTGGGCCTTGCCCTTTGGAGGCAGAGCCTCCCAAAGTCTGAGGCAGGGGGATGGGAAAGGCCAAGCCCAGAATGTCATCCTTTTAATGGGTAATCTTGTAACAGATTTAATATAAGAAAGGGTTAGAAAATCTGTTGGTCGAGTTCAGTTCTAAGTGAGCACCAACTTTCAGAGGCATCCGTCAATTCCTGTAGAGGCTTTCACACTCGATGGGAAGGTCTGAATGCTTTCAGATCTCAACCCAGAATAGTCGGTACCTAAAATTAAAATTCCTGTTGTAGGAATGAGATAAGGGTTCCCCAGCCCCGAAGGCCAGTGGGTCACTTCTCCCGTGCCTCGCTCTACAGCTGACAGGCACACTTGAGGCCTTTGTCCCAAGCCCTGTCGTTCTGTGTTCTTCCCCAGAGCGGGCAGCTGTCTTCGAAGGTCACTGTGACTGTTGAGGCCACCACCGTGGTGGCTCTTCCTCCCCCTTCTCTTCCTTTCAGGGTTTGGCAGAGAGAACGGCCGTGTGACCATTGAATATTATTCACAGCTGAAGACTGTGTGCGTGGAGATGGGTGACGTGGAATCTGCTTTTTGAGACTACGCAGCGAGCCCCGTCTGAGTGTCCAGGTGTGGAACGGGGTCTGGGCCTCAAGGGCGGCCACACGGCTGCCTTCGTTTCGAACCCAGAATTGTGTCCCTCAGGATAAGAGAACAGCTCGGTGTTCTTCCTTCCTCACTTCTCAGTCTCCTTCCTGATTGAAAATGTGCATAAGTGCCTTTTCGATAATCAAGAGAGTTGTGATTTTCTCAAGGCAGATTTCCGTACACTCTTTAACACACTTCGAGAGAACAGGGAGAGGCACCAGGATTATACTTCGTCTGTGGCTTTGACCGACTGTGCTCCTTCTTCGGCTCATTTCAGAGGCCTGGTATCTGGTTGAGTTCCTGGTGGAGCAAGTAGAGCTGATTTCTGCCCCCTGACATTTTGGAGCTCTGGCCCCTTGTCATCGGTTGCATTGCGAAAGCCGACAGTCGGGATGGAAATACTAGCCAGGGTCACGTTCAAGGTGGTGCTTCGCTTGCTAGAGTAAATCCTTCGTTTCCACTCAGTGCTGATGAGGAAGCTGGCGTCCAGTCCTTGAACTGCAGCTTTCTCCCTTTTTAGATCCCAAATAGTTGTATGCTTCTGGGGCCACACTGCAATGAAATAAATCACACTGTTCATTCTTTCAACTTCGGGGCGCCTGGGGTCTCCGTTGGTTATGTGTCCAACTCTGGCTCAGGTCATGATCTCCTTTGTGAGTTTGAGCCCCACACGGGGCTCTGTGCCAACAGCTCAGAGCCTGGAGCCTGCTTCCGGTTCTGTGTCTCCCTCTCTCTCTCTCTCTCTCTCTCTCTCTCTCTGCCCCCTACCCACACCCCCGCTCCCGCTCTGTCTCTCTCAAAAATAAACATTAAAAAAATCCTTTCAGCTTCATGTTATAAAACTAAGCATATCTGAAGGTTATAGTAGTTCACAGCGTAGGGGCCAGGGTTCAGTGAGTGTGGAAGGCAGGGGGTTCGTCCTTTGTACCTAGTCCGCGAGGCCGGGCTGGACTTGCTGTGATGAATGTTCGTGGCCTGTGGGAGCTTTTAGGCTCCGTGTTCTTGGCACCCTGACAAGCAGAGGCTGGCTGGCGGAGCGTCCGGCCACGGTGACTTCTCACGCTACCGCTCTCTCTTCCTTCGAGGGAAATAGTTGGTGTCTGATAGCTGCGTTAGTCAGGGCTGTCCGGAGAAGCGGCGCCATAGACCAGAATAATGGGATAGACAGGCATGCGCAGGGGAAGATTGAGTCTAAGAATCAGCTCAGTGATTGTGGAGGCTGAGAAGGTGCAGGCTTCCCTCTGCAAGGTGCGGGCCCGGGAACGCCGGTGATGTGATTCGGCCCGAGCCTGAGGGCCCGAGGCCCCCGGAGCAGAGGGGGTCCGGCTGAGTGAGCCCTGAGGCCCAAGAACCAGGACTGCTCGTGTCCGAGGGCAGGGGGAGACGGACATCCCGGCCCGAGCAGAAACCGGATTCACCTGCTCTCCATCGTTCTGTTCCGTTTGGACCCTGAACAGATTGGGCGATGCCCGCCCGCGCTGGGGAGAGCCGTCTGCTTCACTCCCTTCACCAAAGCAGTTGCCCAAAACTTCTGCAAAGATCCTCACAGGCACACCCGGAAGTCATGTTCTACCAGCCGTCAGGGCGTCCCTCGGCCCGGTCGTGTTGCCGCCTGAAGGAACCATCACGGAGGCTAAGGTGTAGAGCTAAGGGGCGGTGCCCCTCGCCAGGCCCGCGTCCGGTTGTGTGTTGTGATGGGGAAGCCCCGTCATGTTGGAGGATGAGAACGACTCCGCAGCCTCGTGGTGGTTATTTGCACAGAGGGCTCGTCTGTGATCCGGGCCGGGCCACGCGATCTCACGGCGGGCCTCCGGCCCTGATGCCCCTTCCGCGGTAGGAGCTGCCCAGGTGAAGATGGGTTTCGGCTGTTCCTCTAGAGCGAAGACAACGGGGAAGGGGCACCGGTGTCTGAATCCTCATGTTCCTGCTGCCACAGGCTTCTCACTCAGATACCAGCCCCCATGTTCCGACGCAGAACCCGAATTGGAGAAGTCTTGGCCGCCACCAGGTTGAGGAGCAGGACTCCAAGCCACGGGGGAGGGGACTTTGATTCTTGGGTTTCCTGCTAACCTTCCCCGAGTCCTGGGACGTGAGTGCGCCATGTCCTGGCCTTCTGCTGTAGTAAATTACCACCAGCTTCGAGACTTGGAGTCCCGAGTGGTTACGCCCAGAAACCAACGTGTTGGCAGGGGCCACACTCCCCCCGGAGGCCGCAGGAGAGCATCCTTCTCCTCGCCTCGCCCAGCGTCCAGAGCGTTCCTTGCTTTGTGTGGCTCAAAGTCCCTTCCTCTCTCTCCTGGGCCAGCAGCTTAGCGTCTCTGCCTCTTTCTGCTTCCCTCTTTCAAGGTCACATGTGATGGCATTGAGAGCCTGCCAGAGCCTCCGGGGCCCTCACTCGGCTCAAGCTCCTTCCCTTAGTCACCTCTGGAGAGTCTCTTCCCACCTCAGGAGGGAACGTTCACAGATTTCCAGAATTAGGGTGGCGGGGAGCCTTACTCAGCTGCCGCACCCTGCGCCGTCCAAGCGTGTTCCAGAATGTCCCCCAGCTACGGTAGTTGGCACACTTACCAGAAGAGTAATAATAGGTACAGAACACACTTCAGCCAACACGTGACCAGGAGGCCAGGCCTTCCCCTGATTTGGAAGAAGTCACGTCTTCTAGCTAGAGTCCCCTGGGCTCGTCTTTCTCCTCTACCCTCATTTTGATTTCACTTTGGAAAGTTCTGCAGAAAGCACCCTGCTCTCTCCCTCCCCATCTAATCTTCTCTCCCAGAGGGACTCCTGTTAACACTTGGGTGCACATCTCTCCTAGAATTTTCTTGAAGGGGGTCCCTGCGGGCTCGCCCTGTGTCTGGATGACTCTGAGCTGCAGCTGGTGAGGCAGAGAGCTGCAGCTTCTCGCCCAGCGCAGGGGTCCTTCGCCCAGTCCAGGAGCTCGTCAGCCACTGGTGTGAGGATGGAGCTTTTCCCAAAATGCAGGCTCTCCTGTCCAGAAGTTTTCTACAATTCCAGAGACGCAGACTCTCAGAGCCCGAGCTGTCACGCCACTGAGCTCTTGGAAAGGACTATTTGCATAAGTGACCGGATTAGGAGGGCTGGGTTAGCCTTGCTGCTCGGTGTGGCCCAGGGACCAGCAGGGTCGGCTCCTTAGACTCAAGAATCGATGCCCGCCCCCCGTCCCAGTCAGATCTAAGGATGAGAATCTGCATTTGAACAAGGCCCCTCCCCCCACCCCTGGAATCTTTTGAACAACAGTAGGCCAGCTGCTGCTCTTTCAGCAGTGGCTCTCCACTTGGGGCGCTCATTAGAAGTGCCCGAGAAAGCTTTACCCATCTGCCAAGCGGCCTGGCCATCTATATCCGTAGAAGTCCCTGCCAAGGTGAACTCCGCAGACAGGTCGAGAACCAGCGCGTTGCTGTTGTGCTGCGCGAGTACGGTAGCCACTAGCCAAGTGTGGCGACTTAACTTTTTCTTTTTTAAATTATTAATTTAAAATTTAAAATTAAATTATTAATTTAAAAAATTATTCATTTTGAGCGAGAGAGCAGGGGAGAGGCAAAGAGACAGGGAGAGAATCCCAAGCAGGTTCCGAACTGTCACGAAGGAGCCTGGTGTGGGGCTCGAAGTCACAAACTGAGAGATCTTGACCTGAGCTGAAACCAAGAGTCGGGACACTTAACCGACTGAGCCCCCCAGTGCCCCTACTTACGTTTAAGTAGATAAAAACTCAGTTGGTTAGTTGCTTTAGCCACCCTGTGAGGACTTAATGCCACACATGGGTAGTGCGGGCACTGTGCGGGATGATGCCTGGGGGTCGCGGGCGCTGTACTGGAAAGTGCAGAGGTCAAATGTTCCCCTGGTGTCAAAGTTCTGTTGGACAGCCTTGCTTGCGAGGGAGGGAACCGAGGCCCTCACTCTTCAGTTTTTGAGTGAGTTAGGAGACCACCTTTGGGGGCAAGCGCTGTGAGGGGTGAAAAGAGAAGCCGGGCAGACCCCGGAGTGTGGGTTCGTTAGAACACCTCCTTAGAACATGAGAGGGCAGGCGGCTGAGCTGGTTGCTCACTCTTGATGACTGAAGCTTCGCCAGCAGGTGCTCCCACACGTCGCACACTGCGTGCGGGACCCTGAGCTGCCCGAGCAGCAGCGTGCGGGGCACGGGCACAGACTGTCGCTTGATCCTCAAGAACTTTATATGGTAAGTGTTATCCCCAGCTCATTGCTGGGAGAGCCAAGGCTTAGGGAGACTAATCAGCCTGCTGGCAGGCACATGCTGCCTGCGGGGGGGGGGGGGGGGGGGGGGGGGAAGCTGAGGTGCATCGTGGAGAATTAGGTGCGGCTCTCTAGTTTCCATCTACCACCGAGCCCAGAATGTGTTCCTCTACAGAAACAAACCAATCCTGGGTGCACCTGGGTGGCTCAGTCGGTTGAGCGGTGGACTCTTGATCTCAGGTCTCGATCCCAGGGTTTTGAGTTCAAGCCCCACGTTGGGCTCTGTGCTGGGAGTAGAGCCTACTCAGAAAAACAAAAAAAATGGAGCAGTGAATGGCAATAGTTAGACCAGATTTTCTTTTCTCCACAAGACAAAGGAATTTTACAGAAATTAGCTTTGCCAAACATGGTCACTGTCTTTTTTTTTTTTTTTTTTTCAGTTTATTGTCAAATTGGCTAATATACAGTGTGTAAAGTGTGCTCTTGGTTTTGGGGATAGATTTCCCTGGTTCCGTCACTTACAACACCCAGTGCTCACGATCCAACAAGTGCCCTCCTCGATGCCCATCCCCCACTTTCCCCTCTCCCCCACCCTCCCAGAAACCCTGATTGTTTTCTGTATTTAAGTCTCTTATGTTTGCCTCCCTCCCTCTCTATAACTCTTTTTCCCCTTTCCCCTCCCCCATGTTCTGTTAAGTTTCTCAAGATCCACATGAGTGAAAACATATGATATCTGTCTCTGACTTATTCCACTCAGCATACCACCTTCCAGTTCCATCCATGTTGCTGCACATGGCATGATTTCATTCTTTCGCAGTGCCAAAGGGCATTCCATTGTATATACAAACCACATCTTTATTCATCAGTTGATGGACATTTAGTCTCTTTCCACAATTTGGCTAATTATTGAAAGTGCTGCTGTGAACATTGGAGTACATGTGCCCCTAAGTATCAACACTCCTGTGTCCCTTGGGTAAGTTCCTAGCAGTGCTATTGCTGGGTCCTAGGGAAGTTCTATTGTTAATTTTTTGAGGAATCTCCACACTGTTTTCCAGAGGGGCTGCACCAGTTTGTTTACATTCCCACCAACAGTTTAGGAGGGTTCCCACTTCTCCACATCCTCGCCAGCATCTTTTGTTTCCTGATTTGTTCATTTTAGCCACTCTGACCAGTGTGAGGTGGTATCTCAGTGTGGTTTTGATTAGTATTTCCCTGATGACGAGTGACGTTGAGCATTTTTTCATGTGTCTGTTGGCCATCTGGATGTCTTCTTTGGAAAAGTGTCTATTCATGTCTTCTGCCCATTTCTTCACTGGAGTATTTGTTTTTCAGGTGTTGGAGTCTGGTAAGTTCTTTATAGGTTTTGGATACTAACTCTT